AAACTTAATTTTGTTTTGTAGGAAAAGTTGATGGCAAAGTCACTAAGGAAAGCAAAGTAGATCTTAAAAGGACTTATGCCTCAACAAGAATGTTGGAGTGGAAGTGCAAAGGAAATTTGTTTTTGAATGCTCTACTCATGTGCTCAAATTGGTATCATTTATCATATTGCATTTATTCATTAAGTATAATCACATTAGCATGACTAGTAATTATTGGTTTATGTGTGTTCACTCTTTGATATATATGCTTGTTGAATATGATATCATTTGATGTGATTATTAAAGTTTATGCAAATTAATGAGCTTGGCATATTAGATCCTAATGCTTGATATGGCTTTTGCAATTAATGTATTTGCTTATTAGAATTTGTGTATATTGATGCTTTGATTTGTGTACCTTGATTATATTCATGCTATTTGATGATGCATACATTGATATATGACTAAAGTTGCAAATTTAGTAGTTGATGTTCAATTTAAACTTAGTTAAATGAATAAATATCAAATTAAGGTGCATTCCCTTCAAAACAGCCCCAAACTTTCCGTTTGTCCCAATCAAGGCCAGTAGAGCCGGCTCAACATTTTTTAAGCCGGCTCAACCCAAAAACCCGAAAGTCTTCTCTCTCTAGAATTAAGCCGGCTCCAGGACTAGAGCCGGCTCTCCTGCAGTTTATGACTTTTGGTATTGATTGTCTATGATTTTGATGATTATATGCTCTTATTGAGGGAGAGTTTATTGGTTGATGATTGTATTCATGACTTTGGTTGTCTATGGTGCTATATTGATGGTGATTGATGATTATATTCATTACATATTCTTGATACTTTAAAGGTTGATAGCATGAATTAAGGGGGAGCATTTTGTGCTTAAATTACTTTTCTTAATGGTTATCATGCTTAAATGCTTTAAAGATTGATGTGCATGAATTAAGGGGGAGTTTGTTGATTATGTGCTTTTTGATGAATGACAAAAAGGGGGAGAAAATATGCTGAATTTAATGTCATTCTCTAGAGTATCTTTGTGCTGAGATTCTAGTTAATATTGAAGTATATATGTGCTTTATCTTTGTGTTGAAATTCTGGGTAATATTGAAGTATATATGTGCTTTCATTAATTCATTCTCAAAGTGTTTTGTCATCATCAAAAAGGGGGAGATTGTTGTACCTATGATTTTGATTATTACAAAACACATTTGAGTGACTAATTGGTTTATTTAAGTGTGTAGTTAAGTTGCTAAAAGATTGCAAGCAAACTTGGATTGCACTAAAAATAG